TTTAACCCTTTACTTTGTTATTATTCACTAGGCTCCTACTCACTATTTATTTATTATGTATGTAGGTGAGCAGGCTCGTGACTAGGCTTAAGATGTTACTTGAAGAATTTTGTGTTTGTCAGCCACCTTTTGTGCCTCCTGAGGACGTTTCGGATTAAGTCAAGTCTTGTGGCAATGTTTTGTGAATGTTTAAGACTTTATTTATTTTGGTTTACGAAGAAAGTTTCTGTTTATATGTACATGAGATGACGTGTAAATACTATACCATCATGACGTCATATGTATGCTTATAAAATTAAGATTATATGTCTCATGTATGTCTATGCAACTCGATGGATTATGTATAATTTTATATATCTGCTTCCGCAGCCCCTAATCATATGTTGTTTTGTTTAGAGGCCTTGGGTAATTCAAAGATTATTGGCAGGTTACGATGCTAAACCTATAGGGGCGGGTTTGGATTGTGACATTAGTGGTAGTTTGGAAAGTGCTAAATAAGTATTTTTTTTTTACTTTTTACAAAAATATCTACAGAAAAGTAGAGATGTGATGTGACTTAAAAAATAATTAAGTATACTTTTTTACTTTTTATGAAAATATGTATAGAAATTAGAGATGTGATGTGACCCAAAAAAGATAAAATATATATATATATATAAAAGAGCTAATATGGCACTTCCCAAACAACCCTTTATTTAATGATCCCTTTCTAAAAGGTATATTTTTTAAATATTTTCAAGAAAAATTCTATTGAAAATCTTAAGTATATTGTTTTTTCTTTTGTTCATTAATATTAAATTTTTAATTAATTTTAATCATTATTTTAAAAAATAAATTAGAAAATAATATATATATTTATATATATAATTTTGTTTTGGTTGCTCAAGTTATTAATTGGTGTTTCTGCCCAAGTCCACTCAAATTTAATTTGAATTTTCTTCACTTAATTAAAAACTATATAGTTCAATCGTTAAAAAAAATTTAAGCTTGACTCAAGTTGCTTGGGTTGAGCCCACCTAAGTTTACAATTTTAGAAAGTGAGGTTGAAAGTTACATGATTAAATTTGTGACAAATTAAAAAAATAATAAATAAATTGTGAGATTTAAATTGTAAAATTTCAATCTTCTTTGTGTTCATAATTTGCATACAAAAATTTAACTATTTATATTATTTTGTATAAAAATATATTATTAACTTTTTTACATGCCGTGCGTAGTACGGGTTACCACTAATTTTTTTTATAGAAAATTATAAATTTACTAACTTTAGTGAGTTAATTTCAATCAATATTCAGTGATTATTTTCATTTAAAAACACTAATGGCATTATTAATGGATCAAATTGACACAAAATTTAAAATTAAGGATCAAAATTGTGCCAATTGAAAGTGTAGGGACCACAATGACACAAAAAAAACAAAGTATAGGGACCACCTGTGTAATTTGCCCTTTAGATAAATTTAAAAAGTACAAAATTTATGAAAACACTATAAAAAATTCACTACATACAAAAAAATATAAAAATTTAGTACATTGTCATTTTTTTTATTGATTTTTATTTTTCATAAATATTTTACGTTTTAAGTATAGTTAAATTAAGTGTATCTAAAAAAAACAAATAACTCTAAATCGTTTTCAAAAAATGAAATCAAATAAAATTGAAAGCTGAGAATTTGAAAGGCTGAGAAGTTGGGCCCATTGTAGACCAAAAAAAAAACTTCCTCACAATCAATACATATCTAGAGGCTGAGAAGTTGAAAGGCTGTGATCTTCAACACCATCAAACTTCCTCTGCTCTTCCTCTGGTGTGCTTACAGTTGCAACCCACGGCTGAGGGATCGGCTGCATTCTTCCACAATCTGACTGGAAGGGACTCTTTCTTTCCCTCCCTCTCTTCCCTCCCATTAGGAACAATCAATACATATTTATATGACCTTCCAATAAGACGTATGTATGCGTGGGTTTGATCAATTGATTATCGTCGCTGGAAATTTATTCCACAACTATGGAATTGTTTTTTTTTTTTTTGCATGGTTGTTTCGAATCTGCGAGCGAGAGTTGTAAATAATGCTCTGGCGATGGAGATATGAACAGAGAAAATTAGCAAGCCAGTGTTAGCACTGGTAATTATAGTTAATTTTATTAAGCTTTGATCTGTAATTTACCTCCAAATCCTTGTTTTGAAGGTTCTGTGGGGAGTTCATAATTCATTTTTGTTCATTGTTCACCATTGTAGAGTTTGTAGTGTTGACACTTTTTATACAGAATAAATCTACGCTAAAGATGGCTAACAGGGGATAGTCTGATATATAGTACAGATACATATATACATATAGCCACTTGATAGTTCAATATACAGTACAGATACATATACACATATAGATACAAACTAATAGCAAGACTGTCCACTATTAAACCTGACTAAACGATATAATTATTTATCTGATGTGTACACCAGAACTGACCTTGAATTAAGGAAAAGAGAAAGAAGAAAGTGGTGGAGAGGGCAAAAATGCTCTCCCTCTCTCTCTCTCAGCCGTGGACACATGCACATGGAGAGTGCCTAATTTCAAAACCTTAGGGGACGCCAATGCAATTTAACCTCTAGACTAAAATGTAAACATGAAACAAGAACAAATATGCTGCTATCCACAAGCTTTTCTCTTCTTTTTTTTAATTATAACTGAATGAGTTACTTTTGTGATTTGTCCAAAATATACACCACCAATATCATAATAAGTACCCCAGCAAAAGATAATGCTTAAAACAACTTTACCTGCTGTGTTCTGTCACCATGAATGGTAGTAGCAGGAAACCCATTCATACACAACCAATGTTCCAGTGAATCAGCTCCTTTCTTCGTCTCCAAAAAACCAGAGTCAGAGCTTGCTGCAAAACCAAGTGCAGAAAAGCAACAATCATGTAGATAATGAAGGTCAAGTTTTAAAATTAGCTTAAAATATGAAACACCAATAAAAATGTTAAACAAAAAATTACCCTATTAACAACATTAAGAACACTAGCACTTGTATATCAAGAGATCAGACTTCCTACTGCAAAAACTCCTCTCTCTTTCTAATAAGATTTCAATTCCATCTTTAAGCTTTAAACAGTAAGTTCTTTGGGCCATAAAATACTAAAATTACCGGATGCGATTGTAATTCACCCCTATATATACGTGTTATTGATGTAAACAGATCATTCAAGAGTGAATATAAGATGTAGCCCACTGTGGCTTTATGTATGGACATGAGCCAAGATTGATCGAGCCTTAGTAGCAAGAAACTCCTACTTGGGTGACATTTGTCTTCCTTTCACATGAGAACATTCCCAACTTATGACTCATTTGCATCCACTTTTAACTGTCTATTGGTTTTACCCTCCTTTCAAGTAGTAATACAATCATGTAGCCCACTGTGGCTTTATGTGTGGACATAAGCCAAGATTGATGGAACCTTAGTGGCGAGAAACTCCTACTTGGGTTGGTGGCACTTGTCTTCCTCTCACATCAGACCATTCCCAAATACTTATGACTCATTTGCATCCACTTTTAACTATCTATTGGTTCTGCCTCCTTTTAAGTAGTAATACAATGTTTTTAGTATCGTTTCTTTCATATGGTCTCTTATGTCATGGTCTCTCCCATCCACAACAAACCATGCATTGTTTTGGCCACTGTTCAGTTCATTTGCAACAAAATGCTACCAAAAAAATATTTCAAAGCCAAAGTCCCCTGGCACATAATGGCATTCCCATAGGACCAAAGTGCCATTCCCTATTGGCCCTTAATGCCATTTCTCGTTGGCCCATGGTGTCACATTTTCTTTCAATCCATAGATGCATTCCATTAGCAAGATGTCTTATTTCTTGCATCATTTTCTTATGATTGCATGATACTAATTTTGTGCACATATCTTGCCCTACTTGTCATTTAGAGGAAGATTGACTTACCACCATTTGCACAATGTTCATTTCGTGCCTGATGTGTTTGCATATTGCTCATTCTCTGCACACTTACATGTTTGCAAGATGTTTGATTCGTCTTCTCCCAAAATTTCACTGAGAGGGTGTCATTATCATGATCCATTTTTACATGATGTGTCATTTCGTGCATTTTTCAGCAAAGTCGCACTACCAATAATTTAGTATGGCTGCATACTTGGTGAATTTGCATAATGTGTCATTTTGTGCAAACTTAAACAACCATTTTCCGGCAATAATTTAATTTCCGAGTTCAAGTTTGACACTTCAACAATTTCATGATCCAACTTGGGGTGGGGGGTGGGGGGTTTGTGTGTGTGAGTGTCGAAGATAAAAACACATTGAAGATAGAATCTCATGATTTATGGTTGCATAATTTGTGGCTTGATTTTATCTCCAATCGCTAGTCTAGAATTATAAAAATTGTGGAAAATGATAGCGATTCACCCTAGATATATGGGCGTTATTGGTGTAAACAAATCATTCAAGAGTAAATAGAAGAAGAGCTTGTAGTGACTCTGTTATTTTCTTCTCTTTCCAAACCAAACCAAACCAAGCCAAGCCAAGCCTTAGGTCCCATCAAATGGGTCAGCTACATGAATCATCTTCTCCACTCAATTCTATCAAAGGCCATTTGATTAGTAAAAATAAAGAGATTCATATTTCTATTTACTACACTAGCCCACATCAATATAAGTCTGCCCCTTCCCCTAACACTTCCATCTACCGTCACTTTATTTTTTTAATCAACAGGTTAACAAAGCCTCCACCAAATTATGTTGAGATCAGGCTACATAAAATCCTTAAATTTTAAGATAGTGCTTCAAGACCACTAACCCACCTTGGCGGACGAGTTAAATCCCAAGACAGAAAACATAAGACAGATTTCTCACCATATTGTAGTAAATAACTACTATAAAAAATAAATAAATAAAATTCATTGCGATACCACTGATATCACCACCCAATAATAAATTAACATCTAAGCACAATACATAATCATCTTAAAACAGATCAGATAGTCACACAAGTAGTGAGATAGTTCTATACTATTATTGATAAGTAACACATTATATATATACAGATTTCTCACAATATTTTCTTGTCACTAGACACTAATATAACAAAGCCCACATTAAGAAATAAACATGGGATCCATGTCTTTGTATCTAATGGTTAAAAAATAAGGTGACAAATCTGTTATAATGTATATAGTATTTTTTTTCCCCAACAGATATCATCAACAATGAAAAGTAGAAAAACAAAAGTAAACCCTAAACTGTTGGTAGTTATTCACCACCACTAGCCAACATTACAAACCTCGTATCCTCTTGGTGCCAAAACCAAAACATTCAACTCCCCCTCTCCATAACATTAGAAAAATTCTAGTCTAGGATTACAAAGCCAAGGGGGGAACTTCAAATATCAGACACAATGGCAAAAATGAGAAGAAACAAAAAAAAAAAAATATGCATCCTATAAAATAAGTGAAGCTTGCTGCCACAACAAGAAACATGATGTCTTGAAGATGAAACCAAGTGAGGCAAAAAAATGGGATATTAGTCCCACGCACTGGTCGCCCCAGGACCATACCCTCCTCCACTGTACCCACCCCCTGAAGCCCCATAACCAGTGCCTCCTCCGCCGCCATAGTAATCCGCACCGCCCCTATTGAAAGAAGAGTCTCTTCGAAAGTCACGACCCCCAAACCGTCCTCCCCCAGATCGACGATTCTTTCCACCACCATAGGAAGATCGAGCTGCAAAGCGTGAAAGCCAAGCAGGTACTTCTTGATTTGATTCTTGCATTAAATCAGCTAGTGGCCTCGCCAATGAAGCATTGTTCTCATTAAAGAATGCAGTAGCCAACCCTGACTTCCCAGCTCGCCCTGTCCGCCCTATTCGATGGACATAATCGTCAATATCATTCGGAAGGTCAAAATTGACCACATGTGCAACATGAGGGATATCAAGACCACGCGCTGCCACATCTGTTGCGACCAAAATTGGAGTGTTGCCACTTTTGAAGGACCTCAAGGCATATTCTCTTTCCTGCAGACATGCAAAAATATTCAAAATGTTCAAAAGTGTATCCTGGCCAACAGCACTTGAACCTGGAAAAATATCAGTGCTTCCACAAGAACTGACTCGAAGAAAACAATACCACCACCACCACCAGAGAGAAAGAATGGGTCGGGTGCGACAAAAACATGCCGTGCTCAGCCAAGTATTAACCAGCTCAAACTCGAATCCATAGATCTTTGGCCATGATCGAGCTCAGCTCGGGCACAGCTATGAAGTTTTACATTTTGTTCTCTCTCTGTTCACTATAGTCCATTAGTGGGTCTAAAGTCTGCTCAACTCATTTTATCGCAAGTTTTGTATTTGCTAAGGCCACTCACTTTTTAAATAAGACTCATAATGACTTGATTCTAGATCCAACTGAATTATTAGCATAGCTAAAAACAACACCCAATTAGTACACATTAATATGTGTTTTGGAAAGAAAAGATTAAGTGCACACCTAACCTTTGGCATAGTGCACAAAGGAATATGCAAATATTCACACAACTACGTATGCAAATATTTAAAGGAATATGCAGTTGTTACCATTTAGTGTGTGGACAATTTTCACAGACATAACATGCGCTAGGTGTCTAGATTAGGTATATACAGTGCATAGAGGTTAGAGTGTCTAAATAGTAAAGATTAAAGACAAAAGATTAAGAGACAATGCAAAGCACGCTCCACTCCTAAGTTAATTGCAGGACTATACAGCATTAGTCTATGACAAGTGATTTCTAGTGTTGGAAAATTGGCCTACGATGACCTATACTTGGTCCTGTGTCACGCTTAAAATGTATCAAAACAGGACCGCTTCGAAAAGGTCAGTGTCCCCAGCTCGAAACCCACTTGAAATGCACTTCAGTGGGGTGGTGATGTTTCAGCTTCATTGCAGTCAAAGAGGAGCACTTGAAGAGTGCTCAAGCAGCACAACGAACATAACACCATGCCCAACATGGTTTTCAACTATGCTAGTGTTTTCCAGTTCTAAATTCTAAACACACAAAAATATTCATTGAGCCTCCCTAGAACCCTTGTAGATCCCTCATGAGAGGCCTTGTAGACCTAGGCAACCTAGTTCTTATATATTCAGATTGCAAAAATCTTCTCCGGGAGTTTTACAAAACGACACACTTCATACAACACTTGGGACATGTTTGATTAGTAGGACTAATAATAAAGCGAATAAATAAATCCCCTTGTTCACGTTTGTTTTGCATTATTAATTGTAGGATTAAAAATCGCTAATTTTGTTGGATAGAATGTTGATCGAAATCTAATCCCGATAACAAAACTTGCAACCAAACACTGGAATGTAAATCTCATGGATTAATAATTTCAATCTTATGTTATAATCCACCCAATCAAACAGGCTATTAGATCAATATTAGTGCATTGGTTATTCTGTCATGCGTCGAGAACAACCAAAGAAAAGTGGAGCAAAGATCTACGCTAAAGACGGCTAACAGGGAATAGTCTGATATACAGTACAGATACATATATACATATAGCCACTTGATAGTTCAATATACAGTACAGATACATATACACATATAGATACAGACTAACAGCAAGACAGTCCACTATTAAACCTGACAAAACGATATAATCATTTATCTGATGTGTACACCAGAACTGACCTTGAATTAAGGAAAAGAGGAAGAAGAAAGTGGTGGAGAGGGTAAAAACGCTCTCCGTCTCTCTCTCTCTCAGCCGTGGACACACGCACATGGAGAGTGCCTAATTTCAAAACCTTAGGGGACGCCAATGCAATTTAACCTCTACACTAAAATGTAAACATGAAACAAGAACAAATATGATCATAACTGAATGAGTTACTTTTGTGATTTGTCCAAAATATACACCACCAATATCATAATAAATACCCCAGCAAAAGATAATGCTTAAAACAACTTTACCTGCTGTGTTCTGTCACCATGAATGGTAGTAGCAGGAAACCCATTCATACACAGCCAATGTTCCAGTGAATCAGCTCCTTTCTTCGTCTCCACAAAAACCAGAGTCAGAGCTTGCTGCAAAACCAAGTGCAGAAAAGCAAAAATCATGTAGACAATGAGGGTCAAGTTTTAAAATTAGCTTAAAATATGAAACACCAATAAAAATGTTAAACAAAAATTACCCTATTAACAACGTTAAGAACACTAGCACTCGTATATCAAGAGATCAGACTTCCTACTGCAAAAACTCCTATCTTTCTAATAAGATTTCAACTCCATCTTTAAGCTTTAAACAGTAAGTTCTTTGGGCCATAAAATACTAAAATTACCGGATGCAATTGTAATTCACCCCTATATATACGTGTTATTGACGTAAACAGATCATTCAAGAGCGAATATAAGATGTAGCCCACTGTGGCTTTATGTGTGGACATAAGCCAAGATTGATGGAACCTTAGTAGCGAGAAACTCCTACTTGGGTTGGTGGCACTTGTCTTCCTCTCACATCAGACCATTCCCAACTACTTATGACTCATTTGCATCCACTTTTAACTATCTATTGGTTCTGCCTCCTTTTAAGTAGTAATACAACGTTTTTAGTATCGTTTCTTTCATATGGTCTCTTATGTCATGGTCTCTCCCGTCCACAACAAACCATGCATTGTTTTTGCTACTGTTCAGTTCATTTGCAACAAAATGCTACCAAAAAAATATTTCAAAGCCAAAGTCCCCTGGCACATAATGGCATTCCCATAGGACCAAAGTGCCATTCCCTATTGGCCCTTAATGCCATTTCTCGTTGGCCCATGGTGTCACATTTTCTTTCAATCCATAGATGCATTCCATTAGCAAGATGTCTTATTTCTTGCATCATTTTCTTATGATTGCATGATACTAATTTTGTGCACATATCTTGCCCTATTTGTCATTTAGAGGAAGATTGACTTACCACCATTTGCACAATGTTCATTTCGTGCCTGATGTGTTTGCATATTGCTCATTCTCTGCACACTTACATGTTTGCAAGATGTTTGATTCGTCTTCTCCCAAAATTTCATTGAGAGGGTGTCATTATCATGATCCATTTTTACATGATGTGTCATTTCGTGCATTTTTCAGCAAAGTCGCACTACCAATAATTTAGTATGGCTGCATACTTGGTGAATTTGCATAATGTGTCATTTTGTGCAAACTTAAACAACCATTTTCCGGCAATAATTTAATTTCCGAGTTCAAGTTTGACACTTCAACAATTTCATGATCCAACTTGGGGTGGGGGGTGGGGGGTTTGTGTGTGTGAGTGTCGAAGATAAAAACACATTGAAGATAGAATCTCATGATTTATGGTTGCATAATTTGTGGCTTGATTTTATCTCCAATCGCTAGTCTAGAATTATAAAAATTGTGGAAAATGATAGCGATTCACCCTATATATATGGGCGTTATTGATGTAAACAAATCATTCAAGAGTAAATAGAAGAAGAGCTTGCAGTGACTCTGTTATTTTCTTCTCTTTCCAAACCAAACCAAACCAAACCAAGCCAAGCCTTAGGTCCCATCAAATGGGTCAGCTACATGAATCATCTTCTCCACTCAATTCTATCAAAGGCCATTTGATTAGTAAAATTAAAGAGATTCATATTTCTATTTACTACACTAGCCCACATCAATCTAAGTCTGCCCCTTCCCCTAACACTTCCATCTACCGTCACTTTATTGCATCTCTTTACTACTGCCTCCACTGGTCTTCATTGTATATGACCAAACCATCTCAATCCATTCTTTCTCAGCTTATTATCTTTCTCAACTTAAGGAAGACAAAATTTGACAACAACTGACCAACCTTAAACACACAACATTACCAAACAGGTCATGAATTAAGTAGTGACTTGAAAGCAATTTCTGTGTTCGTATTAATGCTAATAGTCCTAAAAATTTAAGCTTTTAGCACAGCAAATAAGGGTATAGAAAATTTCATAAAGCCACAATCCAAAACAACCAAACTGTTACATTCCACAAACCAACTTGGTAAAAGCACTTAAACATCAAACAGTAAATTAATTGAACCAAATTGAGCATAGTGAGAGTAGAGCACTAACAAAGGACAAAGTGGCTAGCTAATGACTACAAAATAAAAAATGATGAAAAAATATAGAGAAAAATTAGAAAATTACCATGGAAGACGACAAAAGGTAGAGAACATGTGGTTGTTAGTGTACAAGTCAAAGTGAAGATAAATAATTCCATGGCTTGGTTTGAACTTAGAGTTACTAAAGAACATATCAAGTGTGATGCTGTTACATGATAAGTTAAGTAGTGTGTACAAAGATCTCTCCTAAAAACTTAATGGATGGATAGAGGAAAGAAATTTTGTTTTTGTCTCTATTGGTAGCTTCTTTGACAAAAAATTTTCGTCTTCGTTTATATTAAATGTGACAAAATTATTTCGTTTCTATTTCTTATTTTTATGACAAAATACTTTTGTCTCTAATTTTTTCTTTAATGACAAAATATTTTGTCGCTAATTACTTGCAAGTATGTTCCCAACAGAGTGTATTGGAGACAAAAATTTCGTCACAAATTTATCATTTTTAATGATGAATTTGTTTTTGTCTCTATTGGTAGCTTCTTTGACAAATTTTTTTTGTCTTCCTTTATATTAAACGTGACAAAATTATTTCGTCTCTATTTCTTATATTTATGACAAAATACTTTTGTCTCTAATTTCTTCTTTAATGACAAAATATTTTGTCGCTAATTACTTGCAAGTATGTTCCCAACAGAGTGTATCGGAGACAAAAAAAGTCGTCACAAATTTATCATTTTTAATGATGAATTTGTTTTTGTCTCTATTGGTAGCTTCTTTGACAAAAAATTTTCGTCTTCGTTTATATTAAACGTGACAAGATTATTTCGTCTCTATTTCTTATATTTATGACGAAATACTTTTGTCTCTAATTTCTTCTTTAATGACAAAATATTTTGTCGCTAATTACTTACAAGTATGTTCCCAACAAAGTGTATTGGAGACAAAAAAATTCGTCACAAACTTATCATTTTCAATGACGAATTTTTTTTTTCGTCTCTAAGACCCTTTAGCGACGACCCTTTGGAGACAAAACGGGTGACGAAAAATGTTCGTCGTAATTAGTTTGGGTGACGAAATATATACATTTTGGGACAAATTTGTTTCGTCTTTAAATCCCAAATTTGTTGTACATGTCAATTCATATTGTATGGCATATATCAGTATTGTAATTGCGTTCAAACTATTGCTGATTTGGGTGTGGGAGAGATTGATTCGCATTGCCCCGTCTAGGCGGCAACTGGTTGCTCCTGGTGAGGTTCCCATCGGCCAGGGAGACATGCAGTTGCCAACCGGACCTCGGGGTAGCCGGTGGAGCGTTAACATGGGCCACAAGGTCGTATCGACCCACGTAGTCGTCGTGTATAGAGACTAGCTTGACCGGATAATAGAGGGCGAGGTATAAAATTTAAATACCTAAATTTTAATTGTCATATGAAATGTATATGTTCATGAGCGATTTTTAATAGACTTGTCGTTATTGTAGTTTATTTGGCAGCCTTATGCTGGGGTCCTCGGTACGCTCCTAGACTATTGCCGACTAGGTGAGGAGATATGGATAGCGAGAGTGCCACTCATTTGTTTTGATGTGGTTGAGTGGCATCTCCCTGATCGTGTCCTCCGACAGTTTGGTCGGGTCCAGTCTGTGCCAGATCAGTGTGACACCGAGTGGCTATTGCATGCGACTAATAGACGTGACTGAGCCGGCACTGACTGGAGTCTACATCATATGCGATATATACAGCTGTGGGATTCCCTTCGCGACAGTATTGTACAGGCTGACTGGAGCGATGAGGTCCTCCCCTCTTCGGACCCTTACATGTTGTGGTATCGGCGACATACACACCTACTCGTCGGTAATCCGAGCCACCTGTCTGACTCCGGATATCAGGGACTTGGGCCTTCTCTCGAGACATTGGTGAGTATCATAGTATGTGTCAAATAATTGTTAAGATCATAATTGATTTACTTTCAGTCAACTATAGCCTAATACGTTTGAATTTTTTTTCAGGTGGTTCGAGCTGGGAGGCCATATCACTTGGCTGAGAACGCCCTTTTCAGACGTGATGGACAGCATGCGATGCAGGCCCTTGCAGAGATCCGAGAGTTATTGTACGAAGGGATCCAAGGTTATGGTCGTGGCGGACGTCGCGGATGAGGTCGGGGTGAGGGCAGAGACAGAGGTCCAGCTGCAGATCGTGATACAGTTACACCAGATGAGGGAGTTTCACAGCTCACAGCAGTATCCGATCTTCAGGCAAAGACAGGATCAGGGGCAGCACATGCAGGAGAGGAGGGGTCACACTCACAGGCTCCACAGGCAGTCAGTGGAGGGCCACATGCAGGGGAGGGAGTGCCAGATATTCAGAGAGTCTACCGCAGGAGACCGAGGAGGGAGGCCCATGGTCGGGGTTGTGGGACTGGGGGCAGGTTAGGGCATTAGCGAGTGTGATATGGAGTGTATATATATATATTTTTTTTTGTAGTAATTGTTATAGTTTTTGTAAATCAAACTTGTACAGATGATGTAAATGTGTCATACTTATTTATTCGAAATTATAATTTCACAATTTTTTATTCTTACTTATAAAATTTATTTTTCAGGGTTTAGGATTTATTTTTTTATAAAATTGAAGCTAAAAAAAAATTAAGAATTAAACTATAAATCCTAAACCCTAAAATAAAAATAAATAAGGTAGCGTTTCGTAACATTTACGTTTTTTGTTTTTGTTTACAAAAAATTTAAAAACTGGTTTTTGTTTATTTTTAGAAAAACAAAAATTACAAACGCGTTTGGTTTGAACAAAATGTTTAAAAACCCATAAAGTTGATTATTATAAAAAATATGTTTGTTCAGGCCTAAAATATTTATATTTATTTTTATTATTTATAACAATGGGATCACACATATTATAATTGAAAAAAATAATTGAAAAATATTTAACTGAATTAAAAGATTAATTGAAAAAAAATAAATAAATAGACAAAAAATGAATTGAAAAAAAAATTATTTGAAAATATTGATCTCAATTTCATA